TAACTTAATTCAGTAAACATGCTGAGAGTCTAATATGTCTACAGCACTTGGACTAGGTGCTACAAAAAGTTTATAATCTAGTGGGAAAGAAGCCATGTGTGGCCAACATTTAAATTTATGTCTAAGAATTAGTACGTTCCAGTTAGTTTTCATTACAAATAAGAAAGGAACTCACAGAAAAAAGGGAAGAAAGTGGCTGGTCTATTTTACATACACAAATAACATATAACAATACTACACATACATGCGCATGCACGCACACACACATACAAATTATAAGGGTTAAAGATGTGGTTGCCAATTATAGGCACCATGAACTGCAGAATTACGAAAAACACTGCAACTAGGTTTTCTTAGTTTTTCTCTCTCCAGTGTTCTGTGTAGAGAATAAAAATTATTTAATCAATCTAGCATTTGCTTCATTTTGAAGTGCAGTCAGATATGACCTAAAAGGGAGACTTACAAAAGAATAAAAAAACCTTTACAGTTAGTTCAGATAAATCAAAGACAAAAACTGTGTACCTTTGTTGCGTCACTATACAAGTTTATTCTCCTGGGTGGTCATAACTATCAGAAAAGAATTAGGGCTGGGCATGGTGGCTCACGCCTGTCATCCCAGCACTTTGGGAGGCCAAGGCAGGCAGATTACTCAGGAGTTCGAGACCAGCCTGGCCAACATGGTGAAGCTGTCTCTACTAAAAATACAAAAAAAAAAAAAAAAAAAGCCAGGTGTGGTGGCACGTGCCTATAATCCCAGTAATCCCAGAATTTGGGAGGCTGAGGTGGGTGGGTCACTTGAGCTCAGGAGTTTGAGACCAGCCTAGCCAACATGGCGAAATCCCATCTTTACTAAAAATACAAAAAAAATTAGCTGGGTATGGTGGCACATGCCTGTAATCCCTGCTACTCAGGAGGTTGAGGCAGGAGAATCACTTGAACCCGGGTGATGGGGGTTGTGGTGAGGTGAGATCGTGCCACTGCACTCCAGTCTGGGTGACAGAGTGAGAGAGAGACTGTTTCAAAAAAAAAAAGAAAGAAAGAAAGAATTAGACCTTTATTACTGGAACTCCTTTACCAGGAAACAGAATATAGTCTAATGACATTGAAAAAATTGTAGATCCTAGACAACACAAAAACTTAAAGGGTTCTGAATTTTTTCTTTTTGCAAAAATAATCTATTATTCTGTAACTAATAAAGCACAATGGGACATATGACCTTCTTTCTTTTTCTTTTTGGACAGAGTCTTGCTCTGCCGCCCAGGCTGGAGTGCAGTGGTGTGATCTGGACTCACTGCAACCTGCGTCTCCCAGACTCAAGCAATTCGCCTGTCTCAACCTCCCAAATAGCTGGGATTACAGAGGTGCACCACCATGCCTGGGTTATTTTTGTATTTTTAGTAGAGATGGGGTTTCACCATGCTGGCCAGGCCGGTCTCCAACTCCTGACCTCATGATCCACCCACCTTGGCCTCCCAAAGTGCTGGGATTACAGGTGTGAGCCACCACACCCAGCAAGCCTCTTTCTTAAATTTTCTGTCATGCTCTGAGAACTTCCTATTCTTTTCTTTTTTTTTTAAACTTAGCAACAGATAATTCATTAAAGGTCTTACAACTCAGCAATCTCTATTAGAGGCCTTATTTTTCCACATTCACACAACTCTTGTAAGTACAAAGCTTAAGAGCTGTGATGAGTATGTAACATTTTCATTATATAAGCTCAGACCTAAGACAAACACTACAACAGAAAAAAATAGACATAGCTATGAGAAAATTTAGAAAAGAGAAAATATACATTGACTCTTAACTATATTAAAAATGTTGTCTTAGCAATAACTAAAGAGATGAAAATAAAAGTATTAACTTTTATCACCTATCATGTTAGTAAAGATTTTTAAAATGATATAGTAATATCATTTTACTGGCAAGATACTGGCAAGCAAAGATATACTCTTACAACATAAAAATGTGACACAGAAAATGTTACAGAGAGAGATCATTTCATCCATAGCAGTGATTTTAGAATGGTTCTAAATATGAAAAGAAAAATTATATTTCCTATCCACAAAGATCTGAACATACCATTTTTGACAAGTCTTATCTCAATAGTTCACCACTGATGACTCAAATCCCATACACAGGACAAGATCCTCATAATCTAACCATCTTACAATACTGTATCTCATTATAAAAGGAAAATTTTGTTTTTGACATTTTTCTTTAATATTCAAACATTTAGGTTTTGAAGAATATGCAAATAAACTAACAATGTGTTATCTGAAACAATTCCATAGGAAAGCAGCAGGGTAATGATTTTCCCCAAATATGCAACAGGATATATAACAAAGCCACAGAAATTAACAGTATATATAATAGTAGTGCTAATACAGTACAACAAAGTGGATCCATAGACAAGAGACAAAAATGGACACAAGTATATACAGAAAACTAGTATAAGAAAGAAGTGACATTTCTAATAATTACAAAAATTACTATTTAAACAGACACCTTACGTGACCCAGCCATTCCATGCATAGATATTTACCTAAGAGAAATGAAAGCATATACCCACATAAAGAATTGCATACAAATGTTTAACCAGTTCACTTGTAATAGGTAAAACCCAGAAACATATATACTTTGTATGAGGGGCTACTTCTTTCAGCTTATTTTGAGATTAATTCATATTGTGTATCAAGTGTGTTCTTTCCTGCCAAGTAGTGTTTCCACTGTATAAATGTGGCACAATTTGTTTATCCATTCACCTGTTCATGGTCTTCTCCAAGTAAGGCTGTCTTTTATTTCTGGTTATGCAATGAGAGAAGGCCCTAATCCTAACAAAGCCCCTTAGTAGCTTCTGAAATTTTAGCTTCTCTCAGAACTGAAAATATTTTAGTTTTAACTTGAATATCTATAAACTGATATTCATTATGTATAATAAATCTCCTTGAGAGCAGAGATCTGTTTTATTCAGCCTTCTGCTTACTACCAGTAGTATCCAGTACAGTGTCTTGTACACATCAGCTGCTCAATAATGATGATTCAAGTGTTTAACAAGAAAACCGTTCAAAAAAATTATGTTTCTAGACCAACCAAACACTCAAACACAGTAAGAAATGAAAAAGGAGACATTACAACTGATACTACAAAAATATAAAAGATCATCAGAGACTACTATGTCTCTGTACACCAACAAACTGGAAAACCTAAAGAAAATGAACAAATTCTTGGACACATATAACCTACCAAGATTAAAACAGAAAGAAACCCTGTAATCCCAGCACTTTGGGAGGCCGAGGTGGGTGGATCACGAGGTCAAGAGATTGAGACCATCCTGGTCAAACAAGGTGAAACCCCATCTCTACTAAAAATACAAAAATTAGCTGGGCATGGTGGTGCATGCCTGTAGTCCCAGCTACTCGGGAGGCTGAGGCAGGAGAATTGCTTGAACCTAGGAGGCGGAGGTTGCGGTGAGCCGAGATCGCGCCACTGCACTCCAGCCTGGGTAACAAGAGCGAAACTCCGTCTCAAAAAAAAAAAGCCCAGGATCTGATGGCTTCACTGCCAAAGTCTACCAAATTTAGAAAGAATACCAATTCTCTCAAACTATTCTAAAAAATAAAAGAGGAGGGAATTCTTCCTAACTCATTCTATGAAGCCCTGAAACCAAAACCAGACAAGGACACATATTAAAAAACAAAACAAACTACAGGCCATAGGTGAACACAGATGCAAAAGTCTTCAACAAAATACTATCAAACCAAATCCAACAGTACATCAAAAAGACATTATATCACAATTGAGTAGGATATATCCCAGAGTTGTAAAGATAATTTACTATATGCAAATCAATAAACATGATAATCACATCAACATAATGAAAGACAAAAACCATATGGGGAGAAAAAGCATTTGATAAAACTCAACATCCCTTCATGATAAAAATGCTCAACAAACTAGGCAGAGAGAGCTTATCTCACCAGGTGCAATGGCTCACACATATAATCCCAACACTTTGGGATGCCAAAGCAGGCAGATTTCTTGAGGTCAGGAGTCTGAGACTAGCCTGGCCAACATGGTGAAGCCTGTCTCTACTAAAAATATAAAAAATATTAACTGGACATGGTGGCACGTGCCCGTAGTCCCAGCTACTCAGGAGGCTGAGGCAGGGGAATCACTTGAACCCCAGAGGGGGGATGCTGCAGTGAGCTGAGGTCCCACTGCACTCCAGCCTGGGCAACATGTAATTCATAAATAGAACATACTTCAACATAATAAAGGCCATATATAACAAACTCATAGCTAACATTATACTGAATGGAGAAAAGCTGAAAGCCTTTCTTCTAAGAACTGGAAGTAGACAAGGATGCCCACTTTCGCCACTCTTACTCAATATAATACTGGAAGTCTTAGCCAGAGCAATCAGGTAAGAGGAGGAAATTAAAAGCATCCAAACTGGAATAGAGCAAGTCAAATTGTCCCTCTCTGCAGATGACATGGTATTATATTTAGAAAAACCAAAAGACTCCACTAAAAAAAAAAAACCTTTTAAAACTAATAAACAAATTAAGCAAAGTTACAGGACATGAAATCAACACAAAAAATCAGCATAGTGGCCAGGCGCGGTGGCTCACGAGGTCAAGAGATCGAGACCATCCTGGTCAACATGGTGAAACCCCGTCTCTACTAAAAATACAAAAAATTAGCTGGGCATGGTGGCGCGTGCCTGTAATCCAGCTACTCAAGAGACTGAGGCAGGAGAATTGCCTGAACTCAGGAGGTGGAGGTTGCAGTGAGCCGAGATCACGCCATTGCACTCCAGCCTGGGTAACAAGAGTGAAACTCCGCCTCAAAAAAAAAAAATCAGCATAGCATTTCAATATTCCAGCAACAAACTAGATGAAAAAGAAATACAGAAAGCAACCGTATTTCCAAAAACTAAAAACAAAAACCCTAGGAATAAATTTTACCAAGACTTCTACAAGGAAAACTACAGAACATTGATGAAAGAAATTAAAGAGAATGGCCCAGTCCCCTTGCCGAGTCCCTCCGCCGCGCAGCCGGCCACCGCCGAGACCCAGAACATTGCCGACCAGGTGAGGTCCCAGCTTGATGAAAAAGAAAACAAGAAGTTCCCCGTGTTTAAGGCTGTGTCCTTCAGGAGCCAGGTGGTTGCGGGGATTAACTACTTCATCAAGGTGCATGTCGGTAACAAGGAATTTGTCCACTTGCAAGTATTCCAAAGTCTCCCTCACGAAAACAAGCCCTTGACCTTGTCTAACTACCAGACCAACAAAGCCAAGCACGATGAGCTGTCCTATTTCTGACCCTGACTTTGGGCAGGGTCCTTCCACCAGAAGGCTGGTAATTAAGTGATTCTGCGTGGACCACAGCATGCACTTGGGATCATAAAATGAGCATCTCCTGGCTGCGCCCCTTGGGTGGAAGGGGCTGGATGCAGCAGCTGCTCTTGCATTTCTGTTCCTAAATTTCACTGTGTTGATTTTTTTTCCCCCTTCCAATCAGGGATCTTAATTACTTTCAAAATATTTTCAAAAAATAAAATATATATTTTAAAAAGAAAAAAAAAAAAAAAAAAAAAAAAAAAAAAAGCAAAAAAAGAAATTAAAGAGAATGACCAAAAAAAAAAAGACACGCCCAAAACAAAAGACATTAGACATCCCATGTTCATGGATTGGAAGAATTAATATGGTAAAATGACCATACCACCAAAAGCAATCTACAGATTCAATGCAATCTCTACCAAAATACCAATAATATTTTTCATAGAAATAGAAGAAACAATTCTAAAATTTGCATGAAACCACAAAGAGCTTGAATAACCAAAGCAATCCTGAGCAAAAAGAACAGCTGGAGACATCATAATACCTGACTTCAAAATATACCACAAGGCTATGATAATCAAAATAGCATAGTATTAGAATAGAAACATACACATAGACCAAAATAGAACAGAATAGAGAACCCACAAATAAATGCAAATATTTATATCTAACTGATTTTCAACAAAGGTGCTAAGAACATACATTGGGGAAAGGACACCCTCTTCCATAAATGGTGCTGGGAGAACTAAATATCTGCATGGAGAAGAATAAAAGTAGACCCCTCTCACCATATACAAAAATCAAAACAAAATGGATTACAGACTTAACAGTAAGGTCCCAAACTACAGAACTACTAGAAGAAAACATAGAAGAAATGCTCCAGGGACACTGGCTGAGGCAAAGATTTTATGGCCAAGATCCCAAAAGCACAGGAAACAAAAACAGATAGATAAATGGGACTATATTAAACTAAAACAATCTGTACAGCAAAGAAAATACTTAGCAGAAAGGACAACCTGATGAATGGGAGAAAATGTTTTCAAAATATTCATCTGATGAGCAACGAATATCCAGAATATAGAAGGAACTCAAACAACTCAATAGCAAAAAAAAACAATGCCAGTAAAAACTGGGTAAAGGATATAAATAGACATTTCTCAAAAGACATGCAAATGGCCAACAGGGATGTGAAAAAACGCTCATCACTAATCATCAGTGAAATGCAAATCCAAACCATACTGAGATATCTTACCCCAGCTAGAAACTCTATTATTAAAAAGACAGAAAATAACAGATGCTGGTGAGAAAAGGAAACTCTTACACACTGCTGGTGGGAATGTAAATTAGTAATAATAACCCTAAAGAAACCAGCATGGAGATTTCTCAAAAAGTAAAACTAGAACTACCATTAAGACCCAGCAATCTCACTATTGGGTATCTATCCAAAGAAGAATACAGTGTATCAAAAGGATACCCTCACTCATATGGATAAAGTGTATTATACATAAACAATAGAATACTATCTGGCCATAAAAAGAATGAAATAATGTCATGTGCAGCAACATGGACAGAAATGGAGATCATTATTTTAAGTGAAATAGGCCAGGCATAGAAAGACAAATAGTGCATGTCCTCACTACTATGTGGGAACTAAATAGCTTGATCTCATGGACATAGAGCATAGAAATAATAGGTAACAGAGACTGGCAAGTGGGGGAGGGTAAACAGGAGAAGGGGATAAAGACTGTAAGAAGTAAAGTCACCTAGTCTGCTATCAAACACTGGAACTTATTTCTTATGGACCCAAACATACAGTTAGATAGAAGAAATAAATTCCAATGTTTGATAGCAGACTAAGGTGACCATACTTAGCAACACTATTTTGTAGATTTCAAAGTAATTAGAAGAGAGGACTTGACGGGGTCCAAAGTGGCTCCCGCCGGAGGTCATGGCACTCACGAAGGCGAGGTCATCAGTTCAAGGCTAACCTGAGCAACCTCATAAGCTCAAACTGATTGGCAAAAAAAAAAAAAAAAAGAAGAGAGGACTTGAAATGATATCAACATATAAAAATGATAAACATTCTAGATGATGGATACCCCAATTACCCTGACTTGATCATTACATTTTCTTTGCATGTAACACTCACATGTACACTATAAATATGTATATTATTATCTATCAATAAAAGAGGGAAAAAGTGGTCAACAGCGATTTCTCAAATACATATGAGTAGCCAATAGGTATATAAAAATATGCCCAAAGCCACTAATTATCAGGGAAATGCAAATTAAAACCACAATAATGTCATCTTACCCAGTCAGAATAGCTATTAACAAAAAGACAAAAACAGATTCTGGCAAGGATGCAGAGTAAAAGGAACTCTCATACACTGTTGGTGGAAATGTAACTTAGTATAGCCATTATGGAAAATTTTTCAAAAAACTTAACACAGAACTACCATTAAGATCCAGCAATATCACTACTGTGTATTTATTCAAAGGATAGAAAATCAGTATCAAAGGGATACACGTGCCTTCATGTTTACTGCAGCACTATTCACAATAGCCAAACTATGGAATCAACCTAAGTCCCTACCACATATGAACTGCCGAAGAAAATGTGGTATATTTACATAGTGGAGTACTATTTGGCCATGAAAAACAATGAAATCATATCACTTAACAGCAACATGGATGAAACTGAAGGTCATTATTTTAAGTAACATAAGCTAGATACAGAAGAAAAATATCTCATGTACTCACCCATATGGATGAACTAAAAAAATTTATTTCATAGAGGTGGAGAGTAGAATGATAGCTAACAGGCTGGGAAGGACTTGGGGGAGTGGGGAGATGGAGAGAGGTAAGTTAATGTGTACTAATGGGTACGAACATACAATCAGAGGAATAAATTCTAATGTCTGACAGTAGAGTGACTGTAGCTAACAACAATGTACTGTATACTTCAAAATAGCTACAAGTGAGGAACTGAAATGTTCTCAACACACAGAAATAATAAATGCTAGCGATAATAGCCTAAATACCTTGACTTGATCATTACATATTCTATGCATATAACATCATATCTATCCCATAAATACGTACAAATAGTACATATCAATAAGAAAATTTAATTGTTTACTGAAACCCAAATTCTCCACTTTTTGAATTATCACAATACTTCTAGACCAGTTTACTTCCATTGCCCAGGGTCTCTCTTGTGTTCCTCTCTCACTAATGAGAGAACATGTGATGACGAAATATAAAACAACTAGTATAAGATTAAATATAATTAGTAAATTTGTGGAAAAAAATCTTATGTACTCAAAGACCAAATAAATATAATTGTAAAAATTAGTTATACTCAGCTTCCAATTCCTCTTAAATCAGGCTCCCTCCCTCTGAAGATGTTCTACGAGTCAGGGAGGTTGGATCTGAGAAGTAAACATAAAATTGTAAAAACCCCCGGGGAGGCAGAAGTTTACTGGTGTAAATGGAAGGAGGGCAGTATGGCAACCCAGGATGGAAAAGGACAGAGCACACCATTTGAGGTGGGGGTGGGGTGGGTAGGATGAAAGAGAGCTTTTCAGAAATGTTCTGGTCTCTCTCCTCAGTCTCCTCTGAGGCAAAGCAGCAACACCAACCTAGTGCTGAAGGTAATGTCAAAGCAGCAGACTGGCCAGGTTGAGGTGGCAGCCCTGATCTGTTTGCTCAATGAACTTCCATGAGAGTCTGTGCTTGGTAAACAGCAACTTCCTGATGGATTTCCTACAAGATGTCCTGAGAGACAATGTAAATAGAAACTATTTGAAATAATGTACATGGAAAATATAGTCGAAATAAAAATATTAAGAGATGGGCTGGACATGGTGGCTCACACCTGTAATCCCAGCACTTTGGGAGGGTAAGCAGGCAGATCACTTGAGGTCAGGAGTTCAAGTCCAGGCTGGTTAACAAGGTGAAACCCCGTCTCTACTAAAAATATAAAAATTAGCCGGGCGTGGTGGTGGGCACCTGTAATCCCAGCTACTTGGGAGACTGAGGCATGAAAATCACTTGAACCGGGAGACAAAGGTTGCCATGAGCTGAGACTGTGCCACTACACTCCAGCCTGGGTGACAGACTGAGACACTGTCTCAGGAAAAAAAAAAAAAAATTAAGAGATGGGTAAATGAATGAATGAATATAGCTGAAAAATGTTTTAGGAAGTTAGAATATTAGGCTAAGAAACTCCTAAAACACACAAGGAAAGGGTAAAAAACTTTAAAAAAAGAAAAAAGAGCCAGCACAGTGGTGTAGGTCTATAGTCCTAGCTAAAGCCAGGAGGCTGAGGCAAGAGGATCACTTGGGCCAAGCAGTTTGAGGCAAAGTGCACTATGATCACACCTGTGCACAGCCACTGTATTTCAGCCTGGGCAATATAATGAGACCATGTCTCTTAAAAAAAAAAAAAGTATAGTGATACTTATAACTATATAATATATATAATTATATAACTATATATATAACTATTTATATAACAGAAGACCCAAAGAAAGATATATAAACTAACCAGATTCAAAGAAATATTTGAATGACTGGTAATTTTCCAGAATTAGAGAAAAATATCATATTGAACAAATTCTAAATGCAAAAGAGGACAGAGAATAAAACACACCCATGTGCATAAGCAACAAATAGATACATTATAATGAAATTTAAGAAAATCAAAGACAAAAAGAAAATTCTAAGAGTTTCCAACAAGGAAGAGTAGATCACCTATAAAGGAGTATGATCAGAATGTCATCAGATACCTTATCAGCAACATGGGATTTACGAACAAGTAATCCATATTATGCACTGCATGTCTGTACCAAAATATCTCACATATTCCATAAATATATACATCTACGTCACACTCAAAAATTAAAAAGAAAAAAAAAAAGATAGTAAATCTTAGTTAACATTACCCAGACGGAATCATTTTAAAGTGCTGATGCAAAGCACTTTGAACTAAAAGTATATATTCAGAAAAACTATCATCAAAAGTAAAGATGTTTTAAGCACATAAAATCTCAGAAGGTCTTTCTTATAAAAGCCCTCTTTGAACATAAATGAGGTACATGTTGAATATCCCTAATCCAACAATTCCAAATCTAAAACTTTTCTAGTGCCAACAGTATGTTCAAAGAAGCATTTTGGATTTTCAGATTAGGGATATTCAGCTGGTAAGTATAATACAAATATTCCAAAATCTGAAAAAAATCTGAAATCTCAAACACTTCTGGGCCCAAGCATTCACTTCTTTCTTTTTCTTTTCTGTTGATTGATTAATTGAGACAGGGTCTCACTCTGTTGTCCAAGCTACAATTCAGTGGCACAATCACGGTTCACCAGAACCTTGACTTCCCAGGCTCAACTGATCCTCCTGCCTTGGCCTCCCGAGCAGCTGGGACTAGGTGGTATGTACCACTACACACAGCTAATTTTATAGTTTTTTTTTTTTGTAGAGACAAAGTATCACTATGTTGCCCAGCTGTTCTTGAACTCCCCTCAGCCTCCAAAAGTGCTAGGATTACAAATGCCAGCCATCATGCCTGGCCCCAAGCATTTCGGAAAGGGATTCTCAACCAGTACTCCCAATAATAACATTATGAGATACACAAAAGGTAAATATATTACTTAGTAAAACTTAATATATCTTTATATATTTTTTTGAGACAGCTTCTCACTATGTTGCCCAGGCTGGAGTGCAGTGGTGCAACCACGGCTGAATGCAGCCTCAGGCTCCCAGGCTCAAGCGATCCTCCTGACTCAGCCTCCTGAGTAGCTGAAACCACAGGCACCTGCCACCATGCCAGCTTATTTTTTATAGAGATGGGGGTCTCACTATATTACCCAGGCATGTCTTGAACTCCCTCCTGGGTTCAAGCAATGCTCCTGCCTTGGCCTCCCAAAGTGCTGAGATTACAGCAAACACGAGAGCCACCATACCTGGCCCTAATACTATCTTTAAAAATGACACAAAAAACAACCATGACAATCCAGAACCAAATCTAGAGCAGGGCTATACAACTTTCTGAAATGACTAAAATATTTCTTACCTATTTTGTCCAGTATGTTAGCCACCGGTCACATGTGGCTATAGAGCACATGAAATGTGGCTAACGTAACTAAGGAACGAATTTTTTAATTTTACTTAAGCTAAAACAGTCTCTACAACTGCTGGCTATCATATTAGCACAGATCCAGAGCAGGAGTCAGCAAATTTCCTCAAGGGACAAATGGTGAATACACAGGCTGGTGGACCATGTGGACTGTTGCATCTACTCATGTAGCACAAAAGTAGCCACAGACAGACAAATGGCAAGGCTGTGTTCCAATAAAACTTTACTTAAAAACAGTATGCCAACATGAGACACAGTATGCCAACATGAGACGCAGTATGCCAACACCTCACCTAGATGATACAAACACAATGGCAAGGCAAGCAGCAGATGGAATAGAGGGAGAGAAGGCAACCAGAAGATAGCTAGAGTGTGCCATGGTACTAATGTTGAAGGCAGTGGGTGATACAAAGATACTTATAACAACAACAAAAGAAACCAAACATATAAATCTAAGCACACACTGGTTTGGGACAATGACCAAAATTTTAACTAAACACAATGAAATGTTTAAATTTCAAACAATGACTAGAAAATTCAATCTATTAAATGAGAGAGAGAAAAAAAGATGGTAAACTCTGGGATTGGATTTTTAAAAGATCCAGAAATAGGAGGTCTATAAAAAACAGCCTAAATACAAAAGGATATAAAAATACTGAAAACAGGCCAGGTACAGTGGCTCATGCCTATAAAACCAGCACTTTGAGAAGGTTAGGCAGGTAGATCACTTGACGTCAGGAGTTTGAGACCAGCCTGGCCAACATGGCAAAACTCCGTCTCTACTAAAAAATACAAAAATTAGCAGAGTGTGGTGGCGCACACCTGCAATCCCAGCTACTCAGCAGAAATAAGGCATGAGAATCACTTGAACCTGGGAAGTGAAGGTTGCAGTGAGCTGAGATCATGCCACTGTACTTCAGCTTGGGCAACAGAGCAAGGCTCTGTCTCAAAAAAAAAAATGCTGAAAATAAATGAGTGGGGAAAAATACAAAAAGTAATTATTAATCAAAAGCTTGATAGTAATTATAAAACCAGAAAAAAATAGAATTAAAGACAGAAACATATGTAAAGAACAAAGTAGGGTGCTAGAAACTGAGAAACAGATCAAGAAGAAATAGCAATCATCAACATTTATACTTTTAACAATGTTATCTTTCAAGTAAATACAGCAACATCAAGACAACTCAATGGTGAAAGAACAGTCTATTCAATAAATGGTGCTGGTACAACTTAAAACGGAGTTAATCTAAATGCTTACATTTAGCTAAAACTATAAAACTCATAGAATAAAACACATAAGTAAGTCTTTGTGACCTTGAATTAGACACATGACAAAATTTGTGTAGCTAAAACCAAAAGTCCAAATAATTTAAAAAAATTAAGGTAATTTTTTTGATCGAATTGGGTAAGGGCCCAGTTTCATTCATTTGCATATGCACTGGGCCCTTACCTTATCCCCTTTGCAAAAAATAACTTAAAATGAAGTTAATCTAAATGCTTACACTTAACTATAAAACTCACAGAAGAAAACACATTAAGCAAATCTTTGTGACCTTGAATTAGATGACAATTTTGTGTAACTAAAACCAAAGGTCCAACTGATTAAAAAAATATACTATTAGGCCAGGCATGGTAGCTCATGTCTATAATTCCAGCACTTTTGGAGGCCAAGACCAGTTTGTCCAACATGGCGAAACCCCATCTCAACTAAAAATACAAAAATTAGCCAGGGACGGTGGTGTGCACCTATAGTCCCAGCTTCTCGGGAGGCTGAGGCAGGAGAATTGCTTGAACCCAGGAGGCAGAGGTTGTGGTGAGCCAAAATCGCATCACTGCACTCAGCCTGGGCAACAGAGATTCCATTCACAAAAAAAAAATTATTTAAAATCTCATCAAAATGGGGCCAGGCGCAGTGGCTCATGCCTGTAATCCCAGCATTTTGGGAGGCCAAGCTGGGTGGATCACCTGAGGCTGGGCCTGATCAACACGGAAGAAACTCCGTCTCTACTAAAAACACAAAATTAGCCAGGCATCGCTGTGGGCTCGGTCATCTCAGCTACTGGGGCGGGGGCTGAGGCAGGAGAATCAATTGAACCCAGGAGGCAGAGCTTTCGGTGAGCCGAGATGGCACCATTGCACTCCAGCCTTGGCAACAAGAGCGATATTCTGTCTCAAAAAACAAAACGAAACAAAAAACCCTCACCAAAATAAATTGTCTTCTCAAAAGCCATAAAGAAAGTGACAACCCACAAAATGGGAAAAATACAGTTGACTCTTGAAAAACACAGGTTCTGAAGTGCACAGGTACACCTATATGTAGATTTTTTTAAGTAAAAGTTACACCCAGTGTGCCTGCCTCACCTTTCATCTCCTCCACCTCTTCTGTCTCTGTCACTTAGAAACACTAAGACCAATCCCTCCTTCTTTTCCTCAGCCAGCTCAATGTGAAGACGATGATGAAGAGGAAGATCTTTATGATGACCCACTTAATGAATAGGAAATATATTTTATTATATATTTTCCTAATAACATTTTCTTTTCTCTAGCTTAACTGTAGGAATACAGTATATAATACATATAAAAATGCTAACTGTTTATCATGAGGCTTCTGGTCAACAATAGGTTACTGTAGTT